GAGCGATACCAGAGAGAGAGAGCAGAGAGAGAGATACCAGAGAGAAAGAGCAGAAAGATAAGAGAGAGAGAGATCAGAAAATGAGAGCAGAGAGGGAACGTAGATAGAGAACAGAGAGAGACCAGAGAGAGCAGAGAGAGACCAGAAAGAGACCAAAGAGAGACCAGAGAAAGACCAGAGAGACCAGAAAGCGACTAGAGAAAGAGCAGCGAGAGACCAGAGAAAGACCAGAGAGAGACCGGAGAGAGAGACACAGAGACAGACCAGAAAGAGAGACCAGAGAGAGACCAGAAAGAGAGACCAGAGAGAGAGCAGAGAGAGACCAGAGAGAGACCAGAGAGAGACCAGAGAAAGACCAGAGAGACCAGAAAGCGACCAGAGAAAGAGTACAGAGAGACCAGAGACAGAGAGAGCAGAGAGAGACCAGAGAAAGAGACACAGAGACAGACCAGAAATTGAGGCCAGAGAGAAACCAGAAGGAAACCAGAGAGAGAGATCAGAGAGAACAGAAAGAGAGAGAGCCGAGAGAGAGACCCATTATTATATGTACAAGTTTGAATACTGGGAAAAAAATTATTGTCTGCTGTATACTGTAGCTCAGGCCGCAGATTAAGTTAGCGTTCCAAAAATATGTTTGCCATTCTCTTTGTGCGAAAATATCTTTGCAAATAGACAGATTCTTTATTACAAAATGGTCGCACGTATAAATGAACTCTACATCAGTATTCAGACTCAAACCACTGCATTTCCTGATCACCAGTTGCATCAGGAGCACAGAGGACAAAGCAGAGCCACGCCCGGAGCGCACTGAGCATGCCCAGAAGGAGAGCTCCGACTGCAGGACTGAATGAGATCAGCTTATGTAATGTAATGCACTCAGGCGTCTGTGTGTGTGTGTGTGTGTGTGTGCGTGGCCGCAGAGTTCTTGTGTTTTATGTTAAATCAATTCATTCATATGACGACTGTTGCCTTAAAGAAGACATATCACACCAGTGTCTGCTACAGTGAGAGTCGGCCACACCCACAGATCACTGTATTAAAGCTGGGGTACGTAACTTTCAGATCACAAACAGTTGCATTTGGTTCTAACTGACAGGGATTGGAGTTCTGCTGGAAGCCATGGTTACCACAGCATTTTCACAGATACTGGTTTGTTGAGGGTAGGTTTCTAGGATACGGTACTAGATACTAAAGCGTAATGGAAACACAACCAGGATCAGTAGATGAGAGGATAGAAGAGGGGAGGGAGAGGAGAGAACAGAGTAGAGTAGAGTAGAGTAGAGTAGAGTAGAGTAGAGTAGAGTAGAGTAGAGTAGAGTAGAGTAGAGTAGAGTAGAGTAGAGTAGAGTAGAGTAGAGTAGAGTAGAGTAGAGTAGAGGAGAGGAGAGGAGAGGAGGGCTGGCGGAAATAGGGTGTAAGTTTATTATTGTTGGTGGTTTTCCTCCTGCGGAAATGTTAAACTCTGAACTTGTTTGCAAACGTTGAAACTTGACAAACACATTCTTATGTTTGATTTTCAGGAACTTTATTTTTAAACAGGATCATGTTGTGTTTCTGCTTCTGTAACACATGTCACAGACACTGGATCCTCATCGCACAAGACAGGAAACTGGATGTGGACAGAAGTGCACAGTCATGGCTCCACACACACAGACACACACACACACACACACTCACACCCATTCACTCACACACATACGTACACGTACACACACACCTACACACATAAATACATACCCACACACACACACAGACGCATACACACATACAGACACAAACACAAACACACACACACACACAGACACACACACACACACACACACACAGACACACTCAGGCCCCAGACAGACGTCGATGGAGGTTTTCCATTACTGTAAAAGGAGAGAGAGCAGACATGAGCTGCACCCGGGCGATCGATGCATTTGGCAAGTTTGAAGAAAGAGACGACCGGAAAATAACAGGACGGAAAATTATTCATTTGCTTTTCTTTTTTTAATTAATATTTCTGTATGCATTTTTTTTTATTTAATTTGATCTAGTTTTGATATGTTTTCATTTATTTCATAGTTGAAACATATAGTTATGTGTGTTTGTGTGTGTGTGTGTGTGTGTGCGTGTCGGTGTGTCTGTGTGTGTCAGTGTGTGTCTGTGTGTGTCAGTGTGTGTGTGTGTATGTGTCAGTGTGTGTGCGTGTCTGTGTGTGTGTTTGTGTCTGTGTATGTGTGTGTGTGTGTGTGTGTGTGTGTGTGTGTGTGTGTGTGTGTGTGTGTGTGACTGTGGGGTTCGGTACGTGCACATTGCCTCATAAATCGTCTGAGGTCGTAACTTGTCCGAGGGGGCGGAGCTTGCGCCGACTGCTGTTACCAGGCAACTTACCAACGCATTATACTGATCAATGACTCAAAGGACAAATGACCAAAAATAGACAGAACACAGATATCAAAGAGTCATAAACACAACCCCCACCCCTTCTGTGTGAATGCTACCCTGTCAAACTCACTACACTCACTACACATCCTCAGTCCTCAACATCCAAAAACTCTGGGTCATAAACAGGTTTTTAGCTCCATCCATGCTGATATCCACCTCAACACATCCTCCTGCTCCTCCCCTCCACATGCTCTGTTTACAAACGTGTTCTAAATCTGTCGTGGGAATTTCTCCCGTCAAATTTTACTTATAGGGATGGTTTCTTTATACCTCACACAAGTATCAATGTATTTTCTACTTATGTATTACGTTCTAAAACATGAAAAGCCAACATACATATTCCCTGGATTATGTTTATGACCAGAGTGAACGTGCATAATACGTGCCCTTTAAGCTGTCTAATGTCTATCATTCATAGACAGTGGTCCTCCTACTCCTTGTGGACTAATGCTCCTATTGGTCCAAAGGTCTCTGGCTCTCTGTGGTCTCTCTCTGATCACTCTCTGGTCTCTCTCTGGTCTCTCTCTGGTCTCTCTCTGGTCTCTCTCTGGTCTCTCTCTGGTCTCTCTCTGGTCTCTCTCTGGTCTCTCTCTGGTCTCTCTCTGGTCTCTCTCTGGTCTCTCTCTGGTCTCTCTCTGGTCTCTCTCTGGTCTCTCTCTGGTCTCTCTCTGGTCTCTCTCTGGTCTCTCTCTGGTCCCTCTCTGGTCCCTCTCTGGTCTCTCTCTGGTCTCTCTGGTCTCTCTGGTCTCTCTGGTCTCTCTGGTCTCTCTGGTCTCTCTCTGGTCTCTCTCATCGGTCTCTCTCATCGGTCTCTCTCTGGTCTCTCTCATCAGTCTCTCTCATCAGTCTCTCTCTGGTCTCTCTCTGGTCTCTCTCATCAGTCTCTCTCATCAGTCTCTCTCTGGTCTCTCTCTGGTCTCTCTCATCAGTCTCTCTCATCGGTCTCTCTCTGGTCTCTCTCTGGTCTCTCTCTGTTCTCTCTCTCTTGTCTGTCTCTAGTGTCTCTCTACATGGTCTCCCCCTCTGGTGTCTCTCTGATCTCTCTCTGGGGTCTCTCTCTGGTCTCTCTCTCTGGTCGCGCTATGATTGACAACTTTGTAAAGTCCTCCGAGACGCCTGCTGTTGTGATTTAGGGCTGCACTAAAACACATTGACTTCTCAGTATGATTCTGCTCTTGCTGGTCGTGGGTGAGACATCAGCAGATCCAGGGCTGAAGATGCTGACCAGGTTTTCTCTCTGGTGTAATCAATACTCTGCTAACATATGCATGAGAGAGACATGCAGCTGGTAATAGATCCAGGAGAAGAAAAGGAGAAGATTGTGCTCTTTAGAATCCTGTCTCAACATCTCAAAGGACTTTTCTTGCTGGACTATGAGCAAGAAAAGGTAAACATTATAAAGTAAAATGATCTTTTCAGCGCTCTGGATTGTTCTTGATTCATATTTACCGCACCAAGGATGTTTCACTTTGCAAACATGCACAAGTGATTGATCCAGTCATTGATATGCAAGGCACCATCACCACCTTAAGTAGATTCAAGCGTCATTTAGAGAAACACGGATATGGATATTTTAAAGTGCATGCTCTTGTGTCAGAGCAAGAGCTCTGGTGTGTGTCGCCTTCTCTGTCTGGTGCACACCGGGGTAGTCTTGCACAGTTTTTCCAATGTGGTTTTACTGCAAATGGCAAATAAATGAATCTGAATCTGAATCTTTAGAGGTTTTCCCCTATTCAGCGTTGCACAAGCATTTTGCATCAAATGTAACAAATAGTGGGGGAAATAGTTTTCACTTGTTTACCCACATTTATAGGGTTTAAATGCCTTCAAATGAATTGTTACGAGATTTACTTGTATAAATTACCCAATAAATGATTAGTTCTGTTCTGAAAAATGATTTGGTTAAACTCTGGCTTGAAATTCAATGTATTTGTGCATCGCCTTAAATCACAACAGCCATCGTCTCGAAGGACTTTGCAAAGTTGCTGTTTCCTCAAAAATAGATCAGAGAATCAAACCGTGCAAACACGGAAATGCAATATTAACAAAAATATAGGGAGCAGGATGACTTCTGTCCATACATTTAAACAAATGTCCTGGATTATAGAGGAGAGCCACGTTTCCAAATGACTATCAGTCCTGTTTTCAAAGATGGACAATGGTTACATTTGGCGAGCTAGCCAGGACTAGAAGTTATTTTGAAATAACAGCAGCTCCAGCCGGTTACACACATAACATACAGATAACTGTCCAAAGAGTGAAGCTATCTGACTCCTTGGGCAGTTATCGCATCTTTGTCCTGTGTGCAGTGAGTGTCACCACCTCCCTTCACATGCAGTGCCTCTACATGTGTGTGTCTGTGTGTGTGTGTGTAGTAGGACAGGGAGTGGCCAGCCCCTGTGGGTGCGTGTGCATGTGCGTGTGCATGTGTGTGTGTGATTCTAAGGGGAGTGGCCCTTCCCTTCCTCAGATAAAAGCCCCTGCTCTCCTTCTCTCTCTCTGTTGCCTCTAGTGCATCTCCGCATCTTCTCTTCTCTCGCTAAACTCCACGACTTTCAGCAAACTCCACCATGAGCCACTCGTCCATGCACTCCACTTCCTACCGCCGCACTTTTGGCAGCCCTCATCCCATCTCCATGTCCTCCTACTCCCCTGTGTCTTCTCGCATGCCCTCGGGCGGCCGTTACAGTCAAAACATGCCTCCGATGGCCTCGTCGAGCCGCACAGCCGCGTACCAACGCAGTGCGAGGCCCCAGCAGGCTCCACGTGTTTCCTACGACAAAGTGGACTTCACGTTGTCCGAGGCAATCAACCAGGACTTCCTCGCCACGCGCAGCAATGAGAAGGCCGAGCTGCAGGAGCTGAACGACCGCTTCGCCAGCTTCATCGAGAAAGTGCGGTACCTGGAGCAGCAGAATGGCTTGCTGACACAGGAGCTGAACCAGTTCAAAGGGCAGGCGCAGCAAGGCCAGCCCAACCGCGCCACCGACATGTTCCAGGAGGAGATGCGGGAGATGCGCCGACAGATGGAGGCCATCGGCAAAGAGAGAGACCAGTACCTGATGGAGCGGGACAACCTGGCAGAGGACCTGACACTGCTCAAGCAGAGGTGAGAGGGGCGGGAACAAAGACCTCGGGCTGGGGTCCCTACATTAATCTATTATTTTTTCAAGTTACAGAACAAATCAGACCACAACATGCTGCCTTTATCTTATAAGAAAACAACGTTTCTGTATGTAAGAGCCCTGTGAGACACTATTTGAGTCTTTAGGCTGAGAGCTAGTCTCTCTCTCTCTCCCCGTCTCACCCTTGTTTCAGAGGATTTTACAAAGTTGTCGATTCACCAACAACTTATCAGAATCAAAAACACTTAGGACACAGGAAATACAATAACGACAAAAATATATAGCCATTGGTCCATAGGTATGAGGAAGACCACTATCCAGAAATGTTCAATCCAGGACTGAGGCTGTAGATCCAGGACTGAGGCTGTAGATCCAGGACTGAGGCTGTAGATCCAGGACTTAGGCTGTAGATCCAGGACTGAGGCAGTAGATCCAGGACTGAGGCAGTAGATCCAGGACTGAGGCTGTAGATCCAGGACTGAGGCTGTAGATCCAGGACTGAGGCTGTGTCCGGGTTGGGGGCAGGTGCAGGTATAAGAGGCTGGATCAACAGCCTGTCCGTCTGTGGGAGCGGATCCCTTTCTCAATATGGGCCTCCCCTAGGTTTCTCAAAAATAAATGTGAGTGGTTTCTTGCCGGAGGGTCAAAGGACAGAGATAATCCGGGACTAGTGTGGAGTGTTCATCCCGCTCCCTATGGACCAATGACTCCTGTGTTTGTTATTATTGCATTTCCTGTGTTCTCTATTTGTTGATGGCAAATCAACAACTTTGTAAATTCCTCTGAGACAACTACTCGCCAGCTTGTTGTGATTTAGGGCTATACAATAATAAATGGAATAAAAATTGAATAGTAATAACAAAGTCATGATCAGTGTGGAAAAGGTTTCTATTACTAAAGGTACTTTACATGTCACGAGTTACTAACTTTCACTGATCTCTCACTGGTCTCTCACTGGTCTCTCACTGGTCTCTCACTGATCTCTCTCTGGTTTCTCTCTGCTCTTCATCTGGTCTTCAAAATATATTTAGTTCTAGTTGTAAAGCTGATGCGGTGGTGATTGCGGTTCTATTTGGGCGTGGCTCCTCCCAGAACACTGCACTGCATCAGGGTCGACACGTGTGGTCTTTGTGCCTCCTTCATGTCCCGTCCACACCACAGGACTGCACTTTTCTGAGACAATATCATCTTTATATTTTGAATTTTTGTTTTCAATAATTATTTTGGATGATTTATGATCACTTTGTCTCTTAGATATGAGAATATGCACCTGCTGTCGTACAGTGTGATTTATATCGTCAACTATTTTAAGTGCGAATAACTCACATTCATATCTTTTCTAAATGTCCCTTTGGGCAACTGTTCTCTAACGTCCCCTACACAGCGCACCCGTTTTCTGAGGCTTAGAAGCTGCTGCATCTGTGTGCATTAGAAACTGCGAGGCTGATTTTAGAAACGTACCCAATGTAGAAGCCTGGAGCAGCACGACGCTAGATATTTGGCATAGAGTGTTCAGACCTATATGCAGAACAGCAGGGAGGCCAGAGCACCTACTTGTAACATCTGTGGTTAACGCTCTCTGTGATCCTGGTGTTTATTTTTATGTTGATATTTCTTTGTAAATCCAGATATGAGCCATATATTCTCATATGCCCATTCTGGACAGGACATAGAAGTAGTTCACTCCTATAAATATCTAGAAGTCCACCTGGACCACAGACTGGACTGGTCAGCTCAGGCCAATGCCATCTACAAGAAAGGTCAGAGCAGACTCTTCTTTCTGAGTAGACTGAGGTCTGACGTGAGCAGTCAAATATTGCACATTTTTTACCAGACTGTTGTAGCTGGTGCCGTTTTCTTTGAGGTTGCGTCAAGAGACAGTAACCGGCTCGACAGGCTGATTAGGAAAGTGTTTCTGTGATGGGGAGAAGTGTGGACTCTGTGGGAGCTCTGCTGGAGAGGCTCTAATGCAGGGCATCCAGGGTAACTCCAGACACCCTCTGCATGACACTATGGCCACTCAGAGTAACCGAAGCAACAGGCTCCTATCACTACTGTACGCTGCCGAACGGAACGTTTCAAGATTCAATGGTCTGTTGTCTTGTTGGCTTTAACAAACCAGGACATCCAACCTGCACCGGGACGGGTTGAACCCAATGTGAAGCGGATGGGATGAGGATCAACCATGGAATCCTATTGGCCGGTGTTTTATTCCAGAGCAGCTGCTGATTCATTAAAAGCAGCCCCTTCCTTGCTGCTGCATTCTCATCCCTGCTTCTTAAGGTTGATCTCAACATGAGCAGAGAGCATAGGCACGGACGATGGAAGGTATTGTTTCCAGTCCTGGATCTACAGCCGGTCCACTGTACACTTTGGCTTTTATTTGCGCAATTCTCTGGAAGACTCTGGAAGAACTGATCAAGACTGATGGAAACGTATTGAAAAGATATTGTAGAGGGCAGGAAATGTTATAAATGAATGCGATTTTTCAGTTTTAAATATTGACGGTGGTTAAAGGTGGCTAGCTAGCCAGGCTAACCAAGCGCAATTTGAAACTGTCACTGTTTCCACGCATATTTAGTTTTAATAATGTCATTGCAATTCCAAGAGATGTGACATCAGCGCGTTTCAAACAGTAAATGTGGAGGAACACAGCTGAAACTATGGTAAGTGTCAAAAGTTCTAGTCTCAGTTATTCTCTCTCTGGTCTCTCTCTTTCTGGTCCGTCTTTGGTTTTTTTTGCACTCTCTAGCCATTCTCTCTAGTCTCTCTCGTCTCTCTTTTTCTGGTCTGAGGACTGTCCTGAGCTACTTTTATGGGCTCTCAGGAGGATTCGATTTATGATGCTGCGTCGTTCTTAAACCAGTATCGTCTGTAGTTCATTTAAAGAACAAGTATGATGCACTACTCGTGTTTGTTGTGTTGGTTAAAGCTGGGGTACCTGACTTTCAAACAAGAAAAATAGTAATAAAATCAATGTCATCCTTGGCTCTAAAACGGTTTGCGTCTATCATTAATTTAATGTATTTTTGGTCTCTATTGGATCATTAGATCAGATTTTTGAGACAGAAAATGGGACAAGACCAGAGAGAGATCTGACAGAGAGATCAGAGAGAAACCAGAAAGAGACCAGAGATAGACCGGAGAGAGACCAGAAAGGGAGACCAGAGGGAGACCAGAGAGAGACTAGCTCTCAGCTCAAAGAGTCAAAAAGTTCACTATAGATAACATGTTTTTAAACCAGATGAAGACAGCATATTCTGGTCTGATGACTTTAAGGCTCTTTCTGTTAAAATAAATGTCGGACAAAGTTACAGTGGGGTAATATTTGACCAATAACAAACATTCAACTCAATCCTTTGTAATGTGACCTTTGTAGCAAAGGTCAAATGTTCCCTCTCCCTGTAAGCAGACAATGGTGCATATACAGTTTATTTGGTTGGAACAGCTGTGGTTGTGATGGAGACCTCAGCTCTGGGGGGGTTTTGTGACAGCTCTAATCACAGAGAATCAATGCTTCCATTAGGTGTGGGTTTCAGGACGGGACCAAGACATGAATCATGAATGAGGCTATTAAATGGTGCTGGAGGGTCTGTAGCCCCATCCACGCTAACAGGAAGCACAAACATGTAGCCTCGCCCCTTCTGTTTCAAAGCTCCTGACTTACTTTCATAATGATGCCATTATACTACTATGACATTATACTCAGAGCGGTACAGAAGTACTGACCATAAATTAGTTCTGGTCATTTCTCAGGTGAAAAGGCACTCTTTACAATCACATGTCTGCATTTGCAGCCTCCCTCTGGTCTGTCTCTCTCTTGTCTGTCTTTGGTCTCACTGCGGCCTCTCTCAGTCTTTCTCTCTGGTCTGTCTCTGGTCTCTCTCTCTGATCTCCCTCTGGTGGTCGAATAGAGAGTTACAGGCAGAAAACATTAATATTTACCCTTCATATTGTTTCACAATATATTTTCTACTGAAGATTTTTTTCACATTCTAAAACATGATTAGACAAAGTTAATATTCCTTCTTTAAAACATATGTGTGATTTTTTTTTAATGGAGAGCTTTAGCAGGACCACACACAGATTAGACCTGAACTAGACCCGCACTAGACCCGGACCAGACCTGAACTAGACCCGGACCACACCCAGACTAGACCCGGCTGACACACTGTGTTAATACCATTATAAAAGAAATGGATGAGGTCGGAGAGGGGAGCGTCTGTAATCCGGTTATGGACCAGGATGGAAACAGCCTTTAGCCTTGACAACGACATTCAATTAATAACGTTAGCGATGGAGCACTTTAGATTTCATTATGATGCAAGGAAGAACCGGCGAAAAAACTGGGCTATGTACAGTAACTTTCAAACCACAAAATCGGGTAATAAAACCCATGTCTCTAGTTCCTGGCATCTAAAACAGTCTGTATCTACACCAAACCCACCACCAGCTTGTGTGTGGCCTCTGTCCCATGTTTAGATCATCCCAAAGAGTCAAATAGTGATTCACAGGGCTCTTTCTTGCACTAAAAATAACATTGTTACCTAGAGAGAGACCAGAGAGAGAGACCAGGGAAAGAGAGACAAAAGAGACCAGGGAAAGAGAAACAAGAGAGAGACCAGAGACAGAGACCAGAGAGAAACTAGCGAGAGACCACTTACCCAAAAACAGCTCCACGGCTCATTATGCTGTCATGCAAAGTATAGTTCCTCACGCAACTTGTGTGTTTAGTTTTAGAACTTTTTCTTTCCCAGGGTTAGTACATTAGATTTATTGTGTCTAATTTTATACTATATTTGGAGTGTTCAAAAAGACTAGGACGGAAGGCGGGTAGAGGCCTGTTCTGACACAAAGATCATAGCAACACGTCTGCCCCTGCTACGGTGCGAAGCTTACGCCGCGGAAGAAATGACCATATTAGGAAATTGGATCCAGCTATCTTATGTTCAAATTGGCTTTTTCGCATCACTCAGTCAGTCATCTCCTAATGTACAGTCTGTGCTAGCATTGTCCATCTGTATACAGTCTCTGCTCTAAAATTGGCAGCTTTATCTGTACAAACTACCAAACATTGTGAGTAGATCCCAAAGCTGTTCTGTGATCTTATCTTTATGACAGCGGACACAGCTCTGCTACGGATGATCGAGGACCTGTTCTCTCTAAAAGCTTTTAAATGATTGGGGCGTCTCATGTTTGACCCTTTGACCTGAGGGACAATAACATTAGCCCTGTTCCCCCTGGACTCTCTCCAACCCCCGAATTGACCAGATGGATCCAGGGCTTTTAGCCAGCTGTGCCCCAGTGCACCCTGGGAAATCAGCCTGCACTTCTATTAAAGTACAATATGATGTATTAGCACTGAGATTTTATCTATTAAAGCTGGGGCACATAAGTTTGGCTGTAAAACAGTTATCCTCACATCTTTAGATCAACTTTTTCAGACAGAAAAGTGACAAAGAGAGGACCACCCTCACTCACCAATCAGCTCTCAGCCCAAAGAGTCAAATAGTGACTCACAGGGATATTTCTTACACTAAAGATTGTTTTCTACTAAGATGAAGACAGCATTTTGTAGACTGATGTGGCCACCTGCAGGTGAAAGCCAGATCCTGTCAGACCTCTTAAGCTAAGAGGGGCATGTCCTGGTCAGTACTGTGATGGGAGACCTCTTGTAACATCAGGAGCCACAGTGGGGCAGCTACAGCTGTAAAGAGTCAAACTGTTGTTGTATCCTTAAGCAAGAAAATTCACCCATATTGCCTAGAATGAGTCGGTGGTTGGTGGGAGGGGCCAATGGGACATACTGGCTGCTTCTGTCAGTGCTGTGGCTACAGTAGTAGTTTATCATCACTGAGAATGGAGTGAATGAGTGATGCTGTGAAGAGTCTTTCGCAGTCCAGAAAAGCTGAAGTTATTATCATTATTATCATTATGCAGAAGGAAATACAAAAGTGTTTACAGTATTTTCGTTATTAAATCCAATATCTAATAGTCCTCTCTCTGAGGATCTTCTTCAGGGGAAACATAGGGGAGCCAAGTTTTGTGCAAATGTAGGAAAAATCTCTCATTATTTTTGCTTTAGGTTCAGAACAACAGTGATAACAAACCCATGTGGACCCTCTCCTGTGTTTCAGGCTGGACGAGGAGAACCAGAAGCGCACAGAGGCAGAGAACAATCTGGTGGCTTTCCGGAAGGTAAACACTCATTTACAGGATTGATGGAGAGACGCAAGGGACAGCAGAGTACAGAGGACAAAAAGGACTGAGGACAAACAGGACGTGACATTCTAATAAATGACACAAGAATAATGAAATAAGTAAGTAACTAATCTGTATTTATCACAGACCAGACCAATTGCTTTACAATTGTTGTGGACATTTGTTATCTCACTCCACACAGAGATGGGAGCAGGGTCGCCATACAGGCACATGCCAGACCTACATATTTTTAGTGGTAGGGGAAACCAGAGCAGACACAGGGAGAATATGCAAACTCCGCAAAGAAAGGTCTGGAGGTAGAATCAAACCCAGGACCTTCTTACTGTGAGGCACAAGTGCTAACCACCGTGCTGCCCATAATGAAGGCCATCGCCCATCTCCATGCAGTGCTCCTCAGAGTCCCAGCAGAGGCCCCTGAGTCTGAGATGGTTCATATGCAGCTGTTTTAAGCTTGTTTTGGAGCCCAACAGTAGTAACAGTAGTCTAACCTACTGGAGACAAATGCGGTCTACTTTCGACTCTATTTTTTTTATTCTGGCAGGGTTTTTCAGATGTGTGCTGTGTTTCCAGGACGTGGACGACGCAACTCTGTCACGTCTGGAGCTGGAGAGAAAGATCGAGTCTCTGATGGACGAGATCGAGTTCCTCAAGAAACTCCACGATGAGGTGAGGAACCTACTGTCAAAGTCTGTCTGTCCACTGCAGGACAGAGGTTATTGGTTCAGAAAGAGAATGTGGACCAGTCCACAGGAAGTCAGCCCATGGATACATAAGCTTTGACCTTAGACGGTGCTGCCCCCTGTTGTCCTGTCGCAGAATTACTGCGTTGAGAACCAGAGTGAGAGTAAACTCATATCTTCTGTCTCAAACCTGGGACACTATGTTCAGAGCTGTTATACCTGGTTCTTTGGTCCTGGTTCCTAACTAGTTCTGGTTCTATGGTCCTGGTTCCTTGAGCCTGGTTCCTTGGGTCTGTTTCCCTGACCCTGGTTATTGTTCTTTGGTCCTGGTTCCACAGTACCTCTATGATTTCCATACTGTGGTTCATTGAGCCTTGTTCCTTGGTACGGTTTCCCTGACTCTGGTTACTTGGTTCTGGTTCCCCAGTACCTCAATGATTTCCCGACTGGTCATGGTTCTTTAATAATAATAATGATAATAAGCTGGAGGGAGGAGGAGGAGCGATGGGAGTGTGGTGATGTGGAGGAGCTCAGAGAGATATGGAGGGGCGCGGTTGTGGATGGCTTTGAAAGTGAGATGTAGGATTTTGTACTGATTGCGGTGGGGGACGGGAAGCCAGTGGCAATGTTTCAGGACAGGGGTGATGTGGTTGATGGAGGCAGTGTGTGTGATGATGTATGCTGCACACTTTTGGACCAGTTGAAGTTTGTGGACAATATTTTGAGGAAGATCAAACAGGATGGAATTGCAGTAATCCAGACGGGGAGTGACGAGACTATGAACCCGGACTGCAGTGGACTGTGGAGGGAGGGAGGAGGCGGCGGACGTTCTGGAGGTGAAAGAAAGCGGAGCGAATGGCGCTGTTAATGTGGGAGCTGAAGGAGAGAGTACAATCGAGGAAAATCAAGGGTAATTAAGGATGACACGATTTGGTCCTGGTTTCTCACCAGTGTTGGGCCAATTACTTCAAAAACTGCTTCTGCTTCAGCAGTCTTTTACCAAAAAAGAAAAAAAAACGGTAATATTGGAGAATATTTATTCTCCTCGGCTGATCTCACGGTGGCCTAGCATATAATTTAATTAACACATGTCACTGACCTTGAGTAAGTAATATAATCTTTATTTTATCTTTATTTATTTCTAGTCACAAAGTGCTTTACAATTGTTGTGGCATTTGTCTCTCACTCCACACAGAGATCGGATCGCCATACAAGAGGTGCATGCCAGGACTTTTTTGCTAGTGTACATATTTTTAGTGGTAAACCGGAGCACCCTGAAGAAACCTACGCAGTCACAGGGAGAACATGCAAACGCCACACAGAATGGTCTGGCGGTAGAATCGAACCCAGGACCTTTATGCTGTAAAGGGCGAGCGCTAACCACCGCCCCACCATGCCGCTGAGTAAAATATTACCCAGATTTTTTTTTGTGCTTTACATTACTGTCTTACAGCAAAAATAAATACATTACAGTAATTACATTACTTTTGGAACATGTTACTCCCAAAACTGTTCCTCACCGGTTCTGGTTCCTTGGTCCTGGTTCTCTGGTCCTGGTTCTTTGGTCCTGGTTCCTCACTCCTGGTTCTCTGGTCCCGGTTCTCTCTGCAGGAGATCCAGGACGTGCAGGTGAGCGTGCAGACTCAGCAGCTGAGCATGGAGGTCCAGAACACCAGCCGTCCGGACCTGACCGGGGCCCTGCGGCAGATCCGGGCCCAGTATGAGAACATCGCCATGAAGAACATGCAGGAATCTGAAGACTGGTACAAGAGCAAGGTACAACATCTAACAGACCGTGTTTAGCCCCATGCATGCTCTCTCTTTGTGAGGGAGTGTCTCCTCATGGTCGTCACTTATGCTGTGCACACAAAAATCTGTGTGTTTTCCATCTTACATTCTAGAACACATGCGACACTGTGTTTATTGACAGTTCACAGATCTGACGGATTCGGCCAAACGCAACACGGACGCTCTGCGGCAGGCGAAGCAGGAGGCCAACGAGTCCAGGAGGCAGATCCAGTCCTTGAACTGTGAGGTGGACGCGCTCAAGAACACGGTAATACTGCTTTTTTAACTCTACTTGTACTTCTTCTACTACTGCTACTACTACTACTACTGCTGCTAGTAATACTACTACTACTGCTGCTACTACTACTACTGCTACTAGTACTTCCCCCGATCATTGTCCTTGATGTCTCCATTGTCCTAAGGCTCACTCCAATCCAATCCCAAAACTTGACGATATTTATAATAATTTTGTGTTTAGAAAAGAAGTTAGTCTTTATATTCTTTATAGTCTCAGTAAACAACGTGAACTCTGGTCTCCTCAGAATGAAGCGCTGCTGCGGCAGATGCGCGACATGGAGGACCAGTTTGGAAACGAGATCTCCAACTACCAGGACTCTGTGTCTCGACTGGAGGACGAGATCCGCCATCTGAAGGAGGAGATGGCCCGACACCTCCGCGAGTACCAGGACCTCCTCAACGTCAAGATGGCCCTGGACATCGAGATCGCCACCTACAGGAAGCTGCTGGAAGGAGAGGAGAGCAGGTCAATGCCATAGACAGAGTGGGACATCACCATAGTGCTAGCCTTAATGTGGAAGAAGCACACACACACACACGTTTTTCATTTCTTCATTTCAAATACACATTGTTTTGTCTCGTTTGCAGGATCACTATTCCCGTCGGTATGGGCATGACCAACCACGCTGGAGACCGCGGTGAGTGAAGCTCCACCCCTTTAAGGGTGAAGCGCCGCTGTGTGTGAGTGTATGTGTGTCTGTGTGTGTGTGCGTGTGTGCGTCTCTCTCTCTTTGTCTGTGTGGGTTTTAAATGGTCCTCTTCCTGTGTGTGTTCAGATTACGAACAGCCTCCCAGGGAGCAGCCCAAGAAGCCGGTGGTCATCAAGACGGTGGAGACCCGTGACGGAGAGGTGACTTTACAAAACAACAATCTTTCCTCTACTGCATAACAACCTACTTGCGTGTCTTTTCTCTGCAGGTGGTGAAGGAGTCCAGGACCGAGAAAGACCAGGTTCGACGTGGAAAGGACGAAAGCGACAACTAGACGTTCCAGCAGAAAGAAGAAAAAACAAAACGCAAAAAAAAGATAGAAAACTAACCCTTGACGAATGAATCTTCAGAAAATGATGTCCTCCTTGGTGCTAATTACACCATGTTTTTGCCTCAACCTGTCTGCTAATGTGTGGAGCTAGCAAAACCACGGAGTTGCTAAGCGCTGACGTAAACACTGCACTTCCGGGTCCATGCTAACTGAAAAAGCAAGTTTTTAACCATGTTATAACATTGTTCCTGGAGTTGTACGTGCTAATATTGATAGATGAATAATCATGTAGTGCAACGACAAGGAAACTCATTCATCTGTCCTTAGATGGGTTTAAGCAGTCAAAAAGAGACATAACAACAGCTGCGCCTGTTGCCTCTGTACCTTTATGTTTTCCTGACTGGTCCTGTTTCCTCACTGGTCCTGGTTTCTTGGTTCTGGCTCCTTGAGCCTGGTTTCCAACTGATCCTGGATCTTTGGTCCTGGTTCTTTGGGCCAGGTTCCTAACTGGTATTGGGTCTCTGGTCCTGGTTTCTTGGTCCTGGTTCCTGACTTGCTCTGGCTCTTTGATTCTTGTTCTCTGGTCCTTGTCCATGACTTGCCCTGGTTCCTGACTAGTCATGGTTCTCTGATCATGGTTCCTTGGTTCAGGGTTTATAGTCCTGGTTCCTCTGTACCTAACTGGTCTTAGTTCTACAATGCTGCTTTGGCGTCTTCACAAAGGCTGTTTTGCTGATGGCACTCACAAGTAAGTAAGTAAGTAAGTAATCTTTATTTATACACCGCCTTTTCACTGCAGATCTGAGTCTCAAAGCGGTTTACAATTGTTAATTATGGGCATTTGTCTCTCACTCCACACAGAGATGGGAGCGGGGTCGCCAGTACAGGAGGCGCATGCTAGAACTATTGGACATATTTTTAGTGGTAGGGGAAACCGGAGTACCCGGAGGAAACCTACGCAGACACGGGGAGAACATGCAAACTCCACTCAGAAAGGCACTGGTCCGACCGGGATTCGAACCCAGGACCTTCTTGCTGAGAGGCGAGAGTGCTATCCACTCTGCCACCGTGCCGCCCAAGTTTAAACAGACTATGTTTCACTTATTGGAGATTCTTTTTAGTCCATAACACCTGCAATGAACCAGGAACCAGTGTATTTCACATTTTAAAACATTCATTCACTTTCATCCACTTTCATCCCCTATATCAGTCCATTTTTGGGTCAGGGGTAGAAATCACAGCTGCCAAATCTACACAGCACCAGACCCTCACTGATTCTCCTGCCGGAGATGAGTCTATGAGAGGATTAGATTAGATTAAACTTTATCATAAATACAAAGTCAGAACAAGGCCACAAAAATACAGTTTAGCATCTAACCAGTTGTGCAATAGCACAGATATAGGATAATATTTACAACACAGATAAATATGTATCAATATATGTGAGCCTGTAGAAAGTTGCTAATGCTAATATATTCATTAAATTACATTACATTATAGTGCGTCTAACATGCTTTAACACTGTGAGAATTCTGGAGTGTGAAGCTGTGTGATAAAAACTGTCTCCTGTTCCGTAAGTGATGACACAACCTTGGTCTTTCAGCAGGGGTTAATTGTCTTGCTCAAGGACACAATGGCAGCAGATGTCAATAGAGTAGATGGAGTAGATCTTGAAGGGCCTGAAACCCAAAACCATTAGGCTCAAAGACATAGCATGACATAGCAAAATCATAGTGTTGAGCTAATGTTCAAGAGGCTTTCCATTAGCTTTGGACCCGGACGTGCGGCTCTTCTCAGCCCCTCTCTTACTGACCACTAGAGGCCTTGTTTTACAGTGCAATCGACCTTTATCGCCATATTTGCCATATTTGCCCTGGTTTATCTGCGTACTAACACCACCAGACACTGCCCTCTCCTTAAAGCCATGTAGACAATTGGTGTTTGTTGTTTTGGAAGCTTGCAGCTGTCCAGTCGGATGATCAAAAACCTGGGTTTTAATAGTAGAAAGAGCTTGTGCTTTGCGACGCCGTGTGTAACTGGTGCAGTTTGACAAATGAAAATGTTAGAGCTAATAAACAATTAAATTAAAACAAGTGAAAGTGTATGTTCTTTTTTAAATAGTGCAAACATAATAGTAGTTGCCAGGTTTTCAGAGAATCAGAATAATGTATTGAAGGTCACACAAGTTGGTGGAATGCGAACATCAAGCCAATTAATGCGGAAGAGGCTGATTTGAACATGAGCTAGCTGGAGCCAATATCTTTATAAGATATTTCTTCTGACGGCATTCGCGTCACACCAAAACAGGGGCAGACATGTTGCTAAGATGGTTGCTAACACAAGTTTAAGTTTCCCCTGCGGATGAAGGCATCTGATTGTTCAATCCTTATGTTGGTCTGATTATATCATATATATATTTTTTTTTTATAAGTGCATTTGAACAGCGGCAGTACACATTAATCAACATTACAGTAAATGTGCCAGTATTACCTACAGCTAATTTCCAACTGTAGTAACATACATACAACATATATATACACAAGCTCAATATAGTTAAAGTTAAAATATTAACACAGGTGATAGAACATATAAAAGCACAGACACACTAGTATGTTTCAGATCTGCAGCAGGGCCTAAGATAATCCTTTATTTGTCCCACAGTGGGGGCATTTCAGTTAGATTAATACACATTTACAGCATGCAGCCATGGATCTGTTATATTAACTGCATAGGGTATTATTAGCTTGGAGCTGAAGAACCCATGCGCTCGGGGGATTCTTGCTGTACTGCAGACTAAATTCACAAGGGCTACCCAGAAATTTTCCCCATAGAATTCCATGTTAACTAAAACAGCTCGACCTCAGCTGAAAGAGAACCTACAGCTTTCATAAAGATCTTTGAAGCTTATGAAATATCTAAGAGCTTTCATAAAGAAAGGATTTTGTGGGGATTTTAGTGACCGTTGTCATCCTGACCTTTTTTTCTTCTTAAATCCTTCTGTTTTCTTTAAATCCACACTTCACTGCCACAAACTCAGCTTTTTTCCTTCCCGCTCTGACTCCGCTCTACCACTGCTCCGATCAGCAGCTCTGATTGGTCAATGTGCAGCCGAGCCGCTCTGTCAACGTTCATGAGAGCCACACACGCGTATTTGGAGCAACGCATCATGGGAGCTCATCAACTGCGCAGAACCGGGAGGACCAGACAATGCCCAAATATAGGCAAGTTCTGCTAATATGTCAGCGACCGTGCCGGCACATGCGTCACTGAGCACAAACCATTCATTTGAATATGGTGCCATCTTGGATCGCTGGGGCTTGCATGCAGCATACAATTACTTCCGCGCTCCTTATGGGCAAAGTGGGGTAAAGTGTCTTGCCCAAGGACACAACGAAACAGCAGACATCAGTGGTAGTAAGTGGAGTAGGTCTCATGGTGGGCTCGAGCCCACAACATTACGCCTCAAAGGCCAATGCTCTATCAACTAAGGCTCAGTTTATACCAAGACAATGCGGTAGTAAAATGCTATAGTTGGATGTCAGTTGCTACCTCCCGTTCATAGAAGACTGTGTTTCAGGGGGGGGGACGTAAGCGTTAAGATCCAGCCTACAGAGTGGGAAGACTCAGATAGGGGCGCTCTTTCACACCCGCGCCCCGCTGCTCCCCGCACGTACATTTGGACATGCGCAGTAGCCGAGAACAACGTAAACAACAATGGCAACAGGTACACTAACTAGCTACACGTGCTTCGAGTGCTACACGGAGGAGAATTCTACTCCTTTGTTCGTCCAAAGGAGACCACGCAAAGCTGTAGTTTCAGTTTCCATTTTTGCAGCTGTTAAATGCAGAAGGATGTTGGTGCATTCTTTCACGTCTTTGCGGCGCCTGAGAAGGATGTTGTTGAGAGAACTACATCGTTTTTCATCCGTATGAACGTTGTGAAATTTGCATGAGGAGCTTGGTCGCTTCTGTTAATAGCTTTACAACGTCTGTCTGCGCAGCACCTCCGTGTAAACTGGGCCTAAGTTACTGTTGCCCAAGCTTACAAGATAAGATATAGACTTTGTTGATCTCACACTGGAGAATTTTACATATCACTTTGGCATGGATAGAATCACAAGTGTGCAAACATGTTGAAGTTTAAAAATATAGTCTGTGCAGGATATGATTATGTAATAAAAAACAATAGCAGTGCTGCTTTTTTCCCCTTTGTAATTTTTACAGTTGCTCCATATTATTAAGAATATTTACCTCCCCCATGTTTTTTTACCGCGGTAAAGTGGCCCGCATCTTTCAGTTCTATGAACAAGCGGCCCGCATAGGGGAAAAGACGTTTTGTTGAGAACTTACGGTAACAGCGGAACATCCTTTCGGAGTCACCCATTTTATCGTACAGAAAGCGCGCTGGGGTCTGGGAGACACGTTTTTGTGATTAAAATCTTATAGAGATGCCACCCGGTACACATAGCACCAGCCCCCTACGATTCCTCCTGCAGATTGTGAGTCCTCAGGAGTAGGGGTGTGATACTTTCTCCCGCGATTCGATTATCGATATGCATTTGCAAAGTATCGATATCGATTTTTTTTTACTTTTTTTTTTTGAATTGGTATCAATACTTAATATATGGCTACATTACGCATCTCCATTATATTTATCATGAAATAAAGAGTATTTTTTCTTTTATTTATACCATAAATTGGCATATTGTATATTTCTGACCAATATATCAATAATCGTCATATCGTGATAAAATCGTTATCGTAATATCGTTATCGTGATAAAATCGTTATCGTAATATCGTTATCTTATTGTTATCGTGAGCTTTGTATCGTGTATCGTATCGTATCGTGAGGTACCCTTAGGTTCCTACCCCTACTCAGGAGGATAGCCACTCTATTGTTTACATATATAAAGTATACAATTTGGTCCGCTAGTGCAATTTTCAAGTATTGTAACTATTTACTGGAATATGGTGTGCGACTAATTTCACTTGACTCATGACCTTATTATTCTCCCTCTACCACTGTACCAAAGCAAAGACCAGAAACTTTTACTGTAGAAATTTGGAGAAATATGGAGTTAAAGTAGCCATTTTGGTCCAAAATAGCCAAAAAATTGTCAAAACATGTCACTTTTGATCTACTGTAACTTTTGACTGTAAAAAGGTGTGCGACTAATTTCACTGGATTCATGACGTCATGATTGCCCTCTACCACTGTACCAAAGACCAGAAACTTTTACTGTAGAAATATTGAGAAATATGGATTTAAAGTAGCCATTTTGGTCCAAAATAGCCTAAAAATTGTCAAAACATGTCACTTTTGATCTACTGTAACTTTTTACTGTAAAAAAGTGTGCGACTAATTTCACTGGATTCATGACGTCATGATTGCCCTCTACCACTGTACCAAAGACAAGAAACATTTACTGTAGAAATATTGAGAAATATTGATTTAAAGTAGCCATTTTGATCCAAAATAGCCTAAAAATGGTCAAAACATGTCACTTTTGGTCTACTGTAACTTTTATTGTGGAAATTTTGAGAAATAATTAGTCAAAGTACCCCCCTTGATAAAAAATACACAAAAGGGGCTACGGCCCCTTTTGTCGACAAGCGGAGGCTCGACAAGTTGACAAGCGGAGGCTCTGCTCCGAGCTCCTTCCATGTGACTGAGCTCCTCAACCTATCTCTAAAAGGTGCTTTCAGACCAATAGCTTCAAAACGCTTTTGACGCGCAATATTTGACGCTGGGTCCGGTGTGAACGCCCCTTGGTGCTTGAAGCTCCTGACGCCGGGTGGGAGGAGCTTCTCTCGCTCCCGCCTGGAGCTCGCACTGAGGAGCGCCTGTCTTTCAGTCTGCTGTGTCTGAGCCAGCTTTAGCTTGTTCTTATACTAAATAAATTACTTTAACTTCACAGCATATGTACATTGATTGTGTTACTTACTTTTTAAGAACGTTACTATTCATACAAATAATATTACAAATAACAATAATCAAGCTCCAAAAGCTTTTGCTTATAGAGTTTGCTCAGTGTTAGCATTGTCGTCTATACCCAGGGAGGGATCAGCTGGTTACCGGCTCAAAAGTGGCCAAAATAAACGTGTGCAGACATGCTTGCGGAGGGTGGACCCCCGGAATGAGAATTAGCAACTTCGGCGTTAAGGGACTTTTTTACGACAAAAGAAAGAGAACGGCGGAGATAGGCGGTGACTACATCCGTTCATATTTACAGTTATGGTCTATACACAGTCTATAATTCAGATTTTATTCTTGTCAATATCCACCATTGCACTGTAAGCAGCAGTATGAAAACGTGTTAGTACAGATTGAACAGTGACAATGAAGTTGAACCCACGGTGAGACTTACCTTCTAGTGGATGGCCCTGCGGTTTGGACGGCTGCACCTAGGGACTTTGACTCCGGCGTTGGTGAGCTGCGGACGTGTCTCGTGGCCAGCGGTGCCCTCCTCTCCAGGGGTTGATGGTCCTCGCGGGGGATGGCGTTGAGGCGTGGTGCTCGTAGCGGCGCTGGACAGCAAGGCAGCAGCGGTCCCAAGCTTCGGTGGCAGCGCTCTCACATGCTGACCCTTTCCTGCTCAGGGGCACATAGGGCAAGAGCCACGCCCGTGGGGGAATCAGGGCACGGGAGAAGATAAAGAGGTGGAATATGACCCCGGCATGGTTGTAGAATTCTACAAGTTCTGCTTTCATAGACCAAGCAACTCCTGGAACCAAAATGACTGAGCTTGTGTTTTTTTCATCTGAACTAGGATTGTTTATGAATGCAAACACAAACTCTTACACCCGCCGCCCAATATGACTCAAGGGGTCAAAGGCAGGCGTGTTTGCTATTGGGAGAGCGCTGCGTTGAAAAATTTTGACTGAAACCAACTCGATATGCAAACAACACACACAGAAGAGGAGCGCCGGTCGATCATGACGCCGTCACAGCGTTGATATTGAGACCAACGGCTGACTTTCACATCACGGAGTTCGAAGGATGTTAGCACAAGAAATAATACTGTATCTGTTTGACGGCAATGAAGTGCAAAAAGCCAATAATTGTACCTTGTGTAGGGTGAGAAAAGTGGTCGATATCACATATACTTAAGTTATGTACCTGATATCGGAGAATTGGATCAAAACAACAGTAATAAATACAATATTGATAATAGCTTTATTTAGGGCAACCAGGGAATAAATCCCAACTGATAAGTGCTTATACGTCACAATATCAATTAATTGGCTCATTTATTGATTAAGTTAATATCATGAGTCTTTCATTGTTAATTCGGTAATTAGCCATTTCCTTCATAGAATCTGAAGGTAGTGAATTCTTTACAATCAGGACAATTTCTGAGTTAAAAGTACATATTATCACGTTCAGGACAAAGATGGTTTTGGTAGATTTAATGAGTCAATACACAATACAGACTAGATATGAACATATGCAAATTGTCAAGAATAACATGAAAGGAAAACGTTGATTTCAAGATTACATTGTTAAAATGCTAGGCTATGTGAGTAAGCAAGGCCTTTTGTCTATGTATGGAGTGGGTATAGGCTGAGGACTGCATGTGTTCAGCTTGGTATAGTGATGTATTCTTTGAAGTATAGGTTTTAATAAAGCCAACAACTGGTGTAGCACGAGCGCAAGTTCATACAACCAGAATGTAAAACAATCTCTGGAGTTGGAGGTGAAAGCTTTAAGGGCGGAGAATATGATTTCTCAAAGAGAAGAGCTCTAAAATGGAACTGACGAATCATCTCTAAAGACGATAACAAAAGGTACCTCATGCTGACCCCCCAAAAAAAAATTGAGTGCATACCTTTTCCCATTTCTGATGAACTCTTCAACGTAGTGTCCCCTCATCTAAAAATTAAGTCTAGCCTCTCAAGATTTCAACAGTTCATGCTTACTCTAATGAGTTGAGAATGCATTTTTGCTTTGACTTTTGGGGATTTTTATTTTGGGATTGATTCAGTAGCTGTCTCCAAATTTATTTTAAAATTGTATCAATACCAAATACGTTCGAAACAATACAGTTTAAAAACCATCTGCATAAGTGATGTTTTGAGAGTATTTATAGAAAACCAAGTAATCTTTTAGCCATGCCCAATGGTTACTCTCCATACATATAGCATCACAAATGAAATATTTAATTGGATATGCCCACAAGGATGTATTATTTTATTTCTAATGGGTGGGGAGGTATGAACAAGTGACAAGTTTATCACTGAATAACAGTACTTTTTTGTCACATCTGATTCCAGGGGACCTTGTTTTAGCAGATAGAGGGGTTAATGTAAAAGACTTATTCAGCTTTCAAGATGATTTAAAAGTTCCAGATGTTCTCGAGGAAAAAAAAACCAGTTAGACCAGTTGATTCTAGAGGAAACTTAGAGCCCTTGCATCCTCAGAATACATATTGAAAGGGAATTGGAGTGGATCGCCAGAAACACACATTTTACAAAGTATTGTGCAATATAAAATTTCATGAATATTGACAGTGACAGTGATAAACATAATGTACTGATATAGTTGTGAAATATGTTGTGCTCTCACTAATGTATGTCAATCTAGTTGATGATCAGTGAGTGACCTTTAGTTGCTTTAATTTTTAAGTTGTGATTTTAATTTCTTACAGGTGGACAAATCCATTTTTTTTGGTAAGTTTTTGGATTCAAGGCAACTTTGGTGGTATTTCTTCACAGAGCAAAAATCCAAAAATGCAAATCAACTTGCTGTTTGTTTCTTCTCTCTGCAATAACAGCACTCGTACCTTATGTGAGTTCTTCTCTCAGAAAGACCCGCTCAACAAAAGGCGCAGGATGCAATCTTTTCAGTCCAAAGAACTCAAAAATCACAGTAGCTTATTCCAGTGACGAATAGTGCATCTGAACTTGATAAAAGTATGAAATGATCTGTCTTTAATCTTAAATTTCCATTAAGACCATTTTCATGCAGAATCGGCAATGGTCTTTAAACAGCCTCAGACACTGTAAGATCCTTGGCACGGAATGGGCACTTAATTTCAAACTACACCTGAAAACCACAGCAGCTGCATGAAAGTGTAACAGTCTGGTGAGGAGCCAAACATAGGGGTGCCCTGTGGATTGGTGAAGCCAGCATCATAACCTGAAACGTCGGAGTGTTTAAGACAAAGTTGTGTTTGGTTAACTCCTCTTGGCTTCCTTTCATTTCTCACTGCCAGATCTGGACATAAGAGATATTATTATCGGTAACATAATGTTTATACTAATTAGACCTACTTGGTTGTCTCAGGTTGAAAAACTATAGATTGTGGATAAAAGATCTTTTTAATGAGATGACACTGATGGTTTTTGCATGTCTGTTCTTAGATGCTTTGATTTGAGGCAGTTTTCCTACACTTCTTGCTCCAAACCACATTTTAGATTTAGCCTGACCTCTGGTTTCCCACTCCACAATCTCACTCTGCAGCAAAACATTGATTTACTAACATATTGATCACAGACTTCATACTGAACACCCACACTTGCAACTTTCTAACATACATCACTGTTCTTTAGTTATGATAGCTGATGAATACAGTGTCAGCTCTTTTCTGCAACTCCTCTTACTCACTGGCATCTCTGAGTTCTTGTATAAAGAGAGGTGAGGGTTTACAGGTAGATTTAAAAACGACTGCTTTTGGGTACATAAGATGCTGCGTGCTCCCTAACAAGAGAACAGGTCCACTGGCTTTTATTTTCGCCCCTTTTTGAAACAATTGGCGATGTTGTTGTAGAGCTGGCTTTGTTCACTAGGTGTCAGCATGTGACACGCCACTGGTTGCAGAAGTCGTCGACTCAGACAAAACTGTTTTTCAACTTTTGGGATGTGTTGAACACAAGTTCCTTTCCTGGAGGTACTCCACCTTTTCATTTGCAGTTCACACGGTCTGTCCAATCTGGCACTTTTTTGATGTTTACGGAGGATCTTCCTTTCCTTTCTGATTGGGCTGCCAAAGGGAAACAACTCAGCCTGATACATGGGAACAACACTCTCCAAGTCCTGGCTGTACAATTTCAGTTGGGCTCTAGCACTTGCACCGTCACATCTGACAACTGCCCTATGCTTCATTGGAAGGGCTATTGAGTCTGTGAATGATTTACCTGTGACAACTTTTACAGTAGCTGTTAAAGCAGTTGCTTTTATAATTAGCTTAGCGAGAAACGGGTGTTTAGCTGCAAGCGAATGACAGATCGCACTGTGTGTACTTACTCTTCAGTCACACAAACAGCTTTTTGTTGACAAATGCATAGCTGGAACATTGGACACAACCCGGATTGTGGTCCATTTATATAAGTCCAGACTTTTGTAACGCCTTCAGGAATCCCCGTGCTTAAAAGGATGGGGAAATCATTAAGTTATTGTAAAAAAAAAAAATATCTGGGTGTGCAGATTTGGTGGACTCACAACAAAAATCTAGGCTTTAAAAAAAAACAAGCCAGGTTTGCTAAGGAAAGCTGGAGTTGGGTCAATCCTCATATCTGAATTTAAAAAACTTTATCAAATGTTTAAACCCGGAATGAAAAAGAAGCTTCATTAGACCACAGATTTTGTAATCCCAAAAATGGTGGTGTGACAACTGTTACTGAGCTAGAGGAGAAAGCTATTGGTGCAAAAATCTTGTCCATGAGCACTTCCTATCGAGCTTTCATTCATGGAGCGGGTTCTTAGAACTGTCATGGAGCTTCATTTATTGTCATGCATTCTAACATTTCAAAGAATATATTAGAGAACACCTTATGTCATTTTCAATATTATATAATAAATAATAATAATAATAATAATAAGTGGAGTGCAAACATCAAACGGAGGCGGCTTCAGCGAGCAGTTGTACTCATCTCTCTTTTTATAGCACTGACTCATGGAATCCTTTCCTAAACAGTTCTACTCCCTTTCCTAAAAAGTTACTTTTTGTGTGAGAGTAACCGCACCCGTTCGGTTCGTGCCGTTTTGAAACTGTGATCAAAGAGGTTGCAACAGGATTCTGCACCGAAGCTTAATTTTTTAGTATCAAAGTTGTCATACAAAAAATAAAAAGACTAAAAGTGTACTTTAGAAGAATTCAAACTACCTTGACTTGCACAGATACAACATAAATCTGAAATAACAGGGCACCAGCTGTGAGGTCATATGTAAATTTATCCTGAGCCATCTCTACACCAGAGTTGGATTGAATAGATGCTAGCGATACAGATGAGGACTTTCTGGATTAATAATAATATAATAATAATAGGAGGCATTTAACATTTAGATATAGATATAATATTTAGATATAGATATAACATTTAGATATAGATATAACATTTAGATTTAACATTTAGATTTAACATTTAGATTTAACATTTAGATATAGAGATATAACATTTAGATATAGATATAACATTTAGATATAACATTTAACATTTAGATATAGATATAATATTTAGATATAGATATGTCTTAAATGTGAGGAAAATGTGCTAAATGTGAGGAAAGTGAGCTAAATGTAGAAAAATGTTCAGCTAAAAAATTTTAACAGAATTTTTACAATCGGCACCCCATAAAGGACTGTGGTGATGATCCAGGACACTTTAATATTCTACAACATGTATGGGCATGTGGTCTATATTTTTTATGTGTTTTAACTGTTGATTCTCCGATCTGAGTTGGTGATTTTCAGTAGTTTTTGTTAAAGGAC